CTGGAGAAAGAGCAATTGAGACTCTCCTGGCATATTCTATAGGGTAGAAGGATTTTTATTCTTGGCTTTATTTTTACCAATCAAATTCAAAGAACATTTATCTATTTAACACCTATTCTGTGCAAGATCCTAGAATTAAAACATTCTAGCCCACAGTGATCTAACATTCTTCTGCGGAGGTTCTTAACCTTAATATCTGTGGGTTTGCTAGATGGCCAAAGGGGTCCATGACCCGAAAGAGATTAAGAGCCCCTGTACTGGGTAGTATAATATATACATACACACAGAGTATGTGTGTGTGTTTGTGTGTGTGTGTGTGTGTGTGTGTGTGGTGAGTGAGAGTGTGTGTGTAAATAGCAGGTAATTTGATGAAGAAAAGAGGACTAAACCCTGAAGGAGACAAAGAAGGTTTCTTGGAGGAGAGGTATCTGAGCTGACTCTTGAAGGAAGACAAGAACTCAGAGGTGGAATGCATTAGAAACACAGAATTTGGGGAAAGATAGTTCACTTTCAGTTGGGGAAACCATAGGATCATAAGGAAAGCTTCACAGAGAAAGTAACACCTAAGCGGGGTTTTGAAGGAAGAGAAGGCCTTCACCTGGCTGATAAGAGGTGATCACAAATGAGAAAGGGAGGATAGAGTTTTGACCAGAAGGAAGAATTATCTTAACCAGCAAGAAAGTAGAAGTGGGATAGTGGTGGGATGGGGAAACTAAAAAATAGTTGAGCAATATTGGGAGAGTATTGGATGAAACCAGGATTGATAGAAAAAGTGACCCTGTATCCAGGAATCAGGCAGGGATGGGGGATAGAAACCAACTCCTTAATCTGGTATTTCAGGAGTCTCACTCGCCTTGGCACTAACTTAACCTCTCCACTTTAACCTTATTTCACATTTCTTTCTTTTATTCACTCTGTCTTCCAACCAAACTGGGTTAGTTGCTGGTCCCTAATGTTTCCTCTAGCCTCAGCACATTTGTAAGGGCCCATGGCCCATGCCTCCATTTCCTTCAAAGCCACATTTAGGTGCCACCTCCTCCATGAAGCTTTACTTATGATCCTATGATTTCCCAGCTGAAAGTGAACTTTCTCAGCTTGAATTTCCCTGAAACACTTTTCTTGGATCTCTCCTTTGCCCTTACCACCTTTTGCCTTTTATCACCCTTGTGTACCTATTGTTTTCCCACTAGCAGACTGTAGTCTGAGGACATAGAATATACTTTAAAAATATGTTCGTATACTCAGCATGAGCACAGTGAATTGTATACACTAGGTGCTCAATATGCGTTTGTTGAATATCAAATGGTGAAATAACTAGCACTAAGTGGGAATATTTGCCATACGGATTGGCATCATTAGCTGATTAGTTCAGGTAGTCAGAGCACAGGATTAATGAGGCCAAGGTCACAGGTTCAGCCCCCATGTGGGCTAATTAACGTGGCTCCATTCTGTGGCCATGGACTGAATTTCCAACCTTAGTCAGCCATCTTGATGACACTGATGAGTGTTCATATGGGGTACTTGTTGAGACCATCTGTGTGGCTCAGACGACATCATGTAGTGAAACAATGCTAGTCTGAGGATCAGGAAACCTGGGTTTTGGTTTTAGTTCTTCTGATTACATAGTGTGATTTGGTCCAGATGCTCGCCCTCCAACACCCACCTAAGCCTCTATGGCTCTGAAATGATCTGCTTCTAATGAAGCTGAGAGAAGCAATCCTAATGTGATCTACCAAAGTCTGACAGAGACTGGAACTGAACTGATATGCTTATTCAGGACTGGCCTAAAGCCAAATTGTGGACTAGGTTATGTTTCTGTCTGGTGGTCACTCCCCTCCAATCTCCACTTCATATCCTTTCAGTTTTATTCATTCACTCAAAATGTATGATGTACCTCATCTAGGAAAAGCATTCTCCTAGGCGCTGGGGAAACAAAGAAGAAGACCCAGCATCTCCCCTCATGCAAGTTACTGTCTTATGGGGGAGGTGGGATGTGCCATCAAATCACTAGTAAAAAATGGGCTGTAGTCATATATTAGGAGAAGTTCAAAAGATTATAATAATTCATAAGCAAAAGCGATCACTTCTGGTGTGGGGGTGAAGGGAAATCTGGAGAGACTTCAGCAGAGTTGTATGTGATGAGCACAGGGGTGGGTGGGGTTGGAGAAGTGAACATCACAGAGAAAGGGATAGCATCCTCAAAGCCTCAAAGGCAGGAAAGATGAGAATGTATTTGACGTGTGGTTTGCTGGAATCTTTCCTCTTTCTGTGTGTTCCACTGAACCCCAGCTTTCTGAGGTTTTCCTTCCTCCCCATCCCCCACACAATAGCACTCACTGAAGCTGGGACATACCCTATAATTTGATATTTTTGTCTCTTCTTTTTTTAAATCAAAACTTGCTTTTTGTGTGTGTGTGTGTGTGTGTGTGTGTGTGTGGTTTCACTACTTAGCATGCTGTTAATGGATGATAATAGGCTAATGTATTATATTTCCTAGATAACACATTTTAACAGGGACCTTCAGTATCTTAAACCAAAGGAGTAAATGATGTGTAGCTTTCCAGTAAGAGATAGAGGAAGAAATCTTTCTTGGAATATCCTAAGTCAAATTATATACTGTATCTGCTTACATATAAGGTCAACCCTAAACTATATTATATTATTGGGTAGGCCCAAAATGAAATGGAAAAAAGTGGTTCAAGTATTGGCTTAATGGCCCTGTGGGAATTCAACTTTATGGACTAGGTCTAGGAAAGTGAAGAAATGGGTAAGAAGGTGAATGAAAGTAGAAAATGAATCTGAAGGAAGAAAAAAAGGTTTTCATGGATAGCAATATGGAAGAGAAGAAACAAAAATAAAGACTGAGTATAACAAATTAATGTTGATGAAGATTTAGGCTAAAGAGAAATAAAAATGGATAATATTGGGCCACAATATAAAGCCATATGTGAAAACACCTTACCAGTTCAAAAATAAGCTATTAAACAAGCTCAGGTATTTACAGTGTAAGTGTAAAACAGCAAGCAAGGCCTCTGAGCACTCAAAATCACTGTCATACAGTTCATGACTAAAGCCTACCCACTCAGAAGGGAACCCAGCAGATCTTCATTCAGAATCCATTCCCTCTTACTTTACATATAGTTCTAACAAGAATTACCACTTCATGTCCGAGGCCAAAGAAAATTACTAGAGTAAAAGTTAGGAGGGAGAAGAGGTCTTATGCATGAGGGCACACATTTTGTGCTAAAAGCAGTTGGAAATGACATTCAACCATCTGAAATCAAGTGAAGAGATAGAAAAAACTACAAAGAAGAAAGACATCAGAACACAAAAGTCACAGTGGTTTGAGGCTATTCAGTGTTGAGTCACCTACCCCTATATATTTTATTAGTCCCTGAGGACTTCACTAAAATATAGTATAATAATATGTGCTCATAAACAGGACTGTGGGTTATCAGGAAAATAAATCATATTGACTTTATGCTATTTAAGAAGGCATGGCAGTATGTCATATCCATGTCAGAAAGAGTTTCATAAAAATGATCAAAATTTTAAAATGACAATGGTTGAAGAAGAAAACCCTTAATTATCTGAGAAATTTATTTGTCCAGGAGACTCATTCCCAAGAGACCCGGATACTTGAAGTTTTACTGTATGCTCATATGAAATAAGAGAAGGAAAAGAAGATCAAAAATAAGCGGATTTTTAAAATTTGGCTAAAATAATTATAACATTTGCATATTTGACATGTGATAATAATATCTTGCATTTGTGGAACATTTCATTGTTTATAAATTTTTTTCACATACATTACTTTGTGTGGTTTCATAGAGCAAAAATATGAAATAGTGGGAAGACCCTGGGCTGTGTAGGAGTCAGGAAATTTGGGTTCTAGCCTTCTTTTGGTCATTTATCAACTGTTAAACCTTAACTACATCATTTGTTCTCTCTGAAACCCAACTATGAAAAAAGGGGGTGGAAGAAGATGATCTCTGAGGTTCCTTCAAGCTTTCACACTCTGATTGTCTGATATTTACAAAAGATCTGTGAGCTACCCAGGGCAGGTATCTTCATTCCAGGCTAAAGGGCACTAAATAATTTGCCCTAAGTCACAGCTAATAAATATGCAAGTTAAGATTGACTCCTAGACTAATGTTATGGATATCATGGATATATACATATAATGTGATTCTGGAAAATAAAGGGTGAATTTGATAATCTTTTCAATAAAAGTAACTACAATATTTGAAGCATCCAATCTAACAAGATTATTAATGGTTTGTGTGTTGTTGGGCAGAGATATCATTGCACCAGGTGGGTGGGAAGGGATGTTGTTAAAGATGAAAAAATGGAAACATAAACAGTGTGATATCCTAAAATTTGCACATCAACTTTATGAAATGATTTAAAAAACCAGACATAGGAACAGAAGGACTTTAACAAACAACGTAAACATAAGTGCAAGGATTTTGTGTGATGGCAATTTTAAGTCTAAAGGCATTGTATCACTCTGGTGGTTAGCCCAGAAAGCTCAGAAAGGCTTCCTGAAGGAGACAAAAGCCTGAGGGGTACTTTGAATGATAGACATGGGGATCTTTGCATCTCAGTCAATGAAGATTATTCCATACCAAAAAAAAAAATAATCTAGGTATGAGGGAAAGGCATGGAGGCTGGAATGGGGAGAATGATGGAGTGGGAAGTCTGATCAAGTATCCCAGAGCCACTCTGCTCATGCTTAGGAATTATAATCCCCCAGCTTCAATGTAATCCCAATAACCTTGCTTTCTTTTCCTTCCCAGCAAAGTGAAACACAGGTGGCTAATTTTAGATCCACAGAGAATTGTTGGTGATTCACTAAAGCTTAGGTGCAACCACTTACAGCTGCTATGAGGGTGGAGTGCTTTTAGACTGGTCTAGCCTCAGGCTGGCTTCTCCCATTCATAATACAGAGGGATAATGACCTGACTGTGATAATGTCTGCTTTTTTTCCCTGTCTATAGCATCCTGGCCACAGCTGGGACCCACTTCAATACCCATGTGGACCTGAGGACCCTCCGGGCTGTGCGAGTACTAAGGCCACTGAAACTTGTGTCAGGCATTCCCAGTGAGTGCTTGGCTTTTTTTTTTTCCTGACATGTTGTGTGAAGTGAGTTAATGAATGTGTGTCACCCTAGGCATGCATTTAGTATAGGGTATAGGTCTGAAAGAAATCAGGCTGGATTGAGAGAAATCAGTCTGTGAGCAAGAACAGTTGTTGATATAAACAGAAGGTAGGGCTTCAAAGTGCTATTACATTTTTTTCAGGCTACAGATAGTTGAATCCCCCCTTCCCCAAATCACATCTAAAAAGTTAGATTAGACATAGATTGCTATATGTTACGAGGAGGCACATGAAAGCATGATGATGATTTCTGTTATAATAACAATGATTGTTTAAAAAAATCATTCCTTTTTTTAAAGCTTTCCTAAAGGGACTGTATATGTAGGGGTCTTTCCCTTTCAAATCTCAATATACATATTAACGTATCCTTCCAATACATGGGAAGACCAATATCTAGGGTCTGGCAAACATTTAAAAAATTTAATTGATATTTTCAGTTATCATATCACCTATATTTCCCCTTGTGCTTCTCTCCCTACCCTCTCCCAGAGAGCCACCCCTTTTAACAACAACAAAAAAAAGAAAAAGATGAAGAGCAGCAAATTAATAAATTCATCAAAAAAAAATCTTCTCCTATATACAAAGTTCCGTATTTGTGGAACCCAACTTCTTCAAAGGAATAGTGGGATATTTCATATCTCTTCTTCGGGCCCAGCCTTGTTCTCTATAGTCTGGCAAATTCAGTTTTGATATTTACAATTGTTTTGCTTCCCATTGATATTACATTGCTCACAACGTAGGTTATTTTCTTGGTTCTGTTTATCTCCCTTAGAAATCAGTTCACATAAGTCTTTCCATTCTTCTCTGTATTTATGATGCTTGTCATTGTCTATAGCACAATGTATTCCATTGCATTTATGTCACACACTTTTTTTAGCCATTTCCCCAACTGATGGGCTCCTCCTGTTTCCATTTCTTTGGTATCATAAAAAGTGCTAACAGGTATGTTTGGGTGTATACGGAGCATTGGCGTTTTTCATTGACCTCCTTGGGGTATATGCCTAACGGTAGAATCTCTGGGTCAAAGGGTATAAATGTTTTAGTCATTCTGTTTGCTAATTGTCTGGCAAATATTTTCATCTCTCTACAAAACCAGCAGTGTGTTCCACCCAACACTGGCCAGTACCACCTACTCTCTTCCTTAGCCACTTTTGCAGCCAGCCACCAGTTTTATTAGGCAGAGTCTTCTCAGAATAAACATAACTATAGTTTCTACAAAGCAAACTTTAAAAAGGGCAAAATTTATTCAATTTCTCATTAAGGCTCAATGCTCTATTTTCTTTTATGTTGTGAGTACATCTACTGGTTTATTATTAACAGTAGAATCTCAGAGGCTAGATTGGAAGGATATAGGTGCTTAATAATACTTGTTGAATTCAATTGAGTTACAACATGTTTATGTCATCAGGGAATGGTAGAAAAAGAGAATGGATTCAGCTTTGAGGGGTGGTGTGGGGGTGGAATCCCTTTACTTGGTCTATCTGCAGCAGGATACAGTTTAATAAATGCAAGCATGCCATCCTCTGCTTCCTTCCAGGTTTGCAAATAGTGCTGAAGTCCATCATGAAGGCGATGGTGCCTCTCCTACAGATTGGCCTTCTTCTGTTCTTTGCCATCCTAATGTTCGCCATCATTGGCCTGGAGTTTTATAGTGGAAAACTACATAGGGCCTGCTTTATGAACAATTCAGGTAGGGTCACCAGGTGGTGCTTAAGGTATTTTCCCATCTGTCTGAGTCCCAGATACCTGTGGTCTGTGATATTCCCCTTCATTCCATTCATTCAAACATGGAAAACAACTGATCAAAGAGAAATACCATTTGTAAGTAAGTAACTAACCATGTTATTTTTGCCCGGGCTTGAGTTACCTCATCTATCAGGAAGGCGTTGTACTTACTAGAGGGTTTCAAAATCTCTTCCAGCTCTAACAAATATTACGATTTATCCAGCATCATGGTACCCACCACTTTCGAGTACAAGGATGAGAGTAGCTTACATTTCTCTTGTCCTTTAAAGTTTATAAAGTGCTTCCTCAAAACAATCTTGTGAGGTAAGCCCTTCAAGAAGTAATACCCACATTTTACAAGTGATTAAACTACAGTTCAACATGGTTAAGTGGTTTTTTTGAGGTCATATGTCCAATAATAATAATTATTAATAATAATAATAATGATAGCTAGCATTGATACAGCTCATACTTATGTGCCAGGCACTATGCTAAGAGCTTAAACATGATCTTATTTGATCCTCACACAAATGCTGAGAAGGAAGTGCTATTATTATACCTATTTTACAAATGAGGAAACTGAGGCAGGAAGAGGTTAAGCAGGATTTGAACTCAGGTCTTCCTGCTTCCAATCCCAGCCCTCTTATCTACTGTGTTACCTAGCTGCCTTGAGAATCAATCTGAGAGCTTGGTCTTAAACTAGTCTTCTGATTCTAAGACTGATCCTTTCTTTTCCTACTATATCACATTACCTATAAGGTCTTCCTAGAAGTCACAGGGAGCTTAATCAATAATGCTAAAGCAATCTCTTCCTCTTGTCCATTTTCATTCTTGTTATTCAAATCCAAGGGTGTGATTTCCTAGAAAGTTTTGGAGCCAATGATAGAAAAAGCAATTTGCAGACAGTTAAAGGAGACAATGAGGGCAGGTTCTCTGGAAAGGAGGTGACTTCCAGAAGAGGATGTGAAATAGGAAGGTATGATCGCCTGGCCAGGGACACAGGTGAGGTAGAGAGGCCAGAAAGAAGGAGGAGCTCGTAGTGGTTTAGGGAAGAGAAAACAAAGAAAGGCTAGCCTCTTTTTTTTTTTTCTACCAGAGAACTTATTGTGTTCCCCCCCATTGTTTTCTGGGTTCACTTTTCAGCTTTTGCTCACTTGTCTGTGGTTTCTTCTCTTCCTATGTGTCTGCAGGTGTGCTGGAGGGGTTTGACCCTCCCCACCCATGTGGGGTGCAGGGCTGCCCAGAGGGCTATGAGTGCAAGGACTGGATTGGCCCCAATGATGGGATCACTCAGTTTGACAACATTCTCTTTGCTGTGCTGACTGTCTTCCAGTGTATAACCATGGAAGGATGGACCACCGTGCTGTATAATGTGAGTGAATGGTTTTAAGTGTGAAGAGGAAGGTATAGAGTTGGGGATGAGGCTACTATGGACCAGAAGATCTGGAGAGGAGGAGGGGCAGCATGGGTGTACATGAGTTAGTTAGTAAAAGCTGAGTGGCAATTCAAATCCCTCCACCTCTGGTCTGAGCACACTGTTGTTCAATAGCTCATTAGAGAGGAGATTTTCTATTAGGAAATGGAATGGAAAAACAGTCATTAAGTCCTTACTATATACTAAGCATTGCATTGAGTCCTGAGCATACAAATTGAAAATACAGACAGTCCCTGCTCTGAACGACCTCATATTTTAAGTGGCGGAGACAATAACATCGAACAATTCAATGGCTGGGGACGTGATAAGCCCAAATGGTCCTTGGGATCTGCTTGTAGGACAGATGCCAGAGCCTGGTGATCCTCCATTTTACTGGAATGATTGTAGTTGGTGAGTCTTCGTTCATTGAAACAGCAGGATTAGCCCTGTGTGCCCTGCAGTCAAGGGTCTGGAAGGAGCCAGGCCCACAACTGTTGAGATCCTCGTGTGATCTGAGTAGGAGACGGGCTTTGGGATCTGAGCACTGGGGAAGGGCTCCCTGTTCAGAAGCAGGGCATCAAAGACTGGTTTAGTCAAACCAACTAGGCAAGAATTTATTGAGCCCTGTTATGCACTCAGCATAAAAGCATAAAGAGACAGCATGATGTGGTTGGAGTCCTGGACCTGGAATCAGGAGGACCTGGGGACAAATCACATCTCTGACACTTACCAGATGAGGGACCCAGGGCTATTTAACTCCCATGTGTCTCAGGTAGTACAATACAGGAAAAAAACCTACTGGATTTGGAATATAAGGACCAGAGTTTAAAACCTGCCTTTGTTATTAATTACCTGTACAAAGTATTATTGCAATAACAATAGTTAAACTAATCAACATAATGAGCAGTTATTAGCACTTTATGGTTTGCAAATTATTTAACTCTTTGCTGTTGTCGCCTTTGTTGAGTTGTTTTGGTCATATCTAACTTTCCTTAACCTCATGTGGGGTTTTCTTGGCAAAGATACTAGAGTGGTTTACCATTCCCTTCTCCAGATCATTTTACAGATGAGGAAACTGAGGCAAACAGGGTTAAGTGACTTGCCCAGGGTCACACAGCTAGGAAGTGTCTGAGGTCAGATTTGAACTCAGTTCCTCCTGACTCCAGGGCTGGCATTCTATATGCTAAATTTAACTTATGTGTCTCTATTTCCTCAACTATAAAATGAAGATGTTCAATTAGATGGCCTCTAAGGTTCCTTTCAGTTCTAAATCTATCATTTTATGACTTCTCTTCTAAGCCTTAGGTTGTGATTTGCTTTTGTGGAGGGGATTCTTGCACCTGGGAGTTCTGTAATCCGATCACAGGCCATTTGCAGATGTGACCAGCACTGTGTTTAGGCTCTGTAGGTGATAGAAAATAAACAAGAGAGTGTCCTCTGGTAAGCAGTTTCCTGTATAGATGGGGAGATAAGATACATAGATAAACAAAATGTTAGAGATGATGCCACAAAACAAGATCACTAGAGGTAGCAGTTTGTAAAGGGACTTCTGCAGGAGATAAGAGGTTATACTAGTTGACCTTTAAAGGTCTCTTTTAATTCAGAGATTCTGTGATTTTTAATTATATCATCAAGTGCTATATTCCTAGGTGTGGGCTTGAGTAGGCTAAAACGAGTGGTGTCTGGTCTGATACGTGCAGGGCTGACCCTGGAGATGGGATGAATTGTCCAGGCCTGCACTTTGGGGTCCAATGGCTATCTATCTGGGAATCAGCCCAGGGAGGCAGTCCAGGGGGAAAGCTCTGGCCTGCTGTAGATAAAAATGACCATCATCCAATATATTGGGGAAGGCAGCAAATGCCCATTTTCATTTAATATGGGCCTCCTTTACACACATGCCTTCAGGCTGCTTCTTACTCCTTTGGGATTTCACTTTACCTTCATATAAAATTACCAGGAGAAGCACCAGCACAACAGCGTCCTGGATACATTCTGAGGCTGGGATCAAAGAGGTGGCCTGGGAGTGCCTGCTTCTCAGGTCAGGCTGGGGTGCACTAGAACCAGCTCTGAAAGTGTGTCTTGAGCATTTTTTTTTGTGAGCCAGTTGTTAAACATTTATCAGCAAACCACTGGGCCTAAGGAAATGTTTGGATCAGACCTCTGATTTCAATGGGAACTTATGGTGAACAAAACTGTGCTCTACCATCTTAGATCAACATCTACTCTGCAACTTATTGTCATAGACAGTCATTGGGGATTTACAGGTTAATTGATTTATTCAGGGTCACACAACAAATGTGTGCCGGGGTGAGACTCTAGTCTGTTCTTCTTGTCTCCAAGATTGTCTCTTTTTCCACTTTACCACTACTTACACTCATTAAAGTAATTGTATTATAGAGCTGAAAGGGCCTGTAACAATCATTTAATCTAGCTTCCTCATTTACACATAAGGAAAGTCAAGTCCAAAATGATAAACTTAAGGTCACTATACTGAAAACCACCTGATGGAAGGAATTGTGTTTTATATATCTGTGCATTTTTAGTGTCCTGTATGAAAAAAAAAGGTGATGAATAAATGCATTCTTGATCCTAGCTCCCTAAGTCTGAACATATCTACCCTCCACAGAGGAGCCACACATCCTTACGAAAGCAGATGCCTTAGAAAGGTGGGTGAGGAAAGACTAAGGAAATGTCTTAGCCAGCATATTCAGGAAAACCATGCAGACACACGTGGAGGCTTTGTGAGGAGGGAGGAAAGGAAGGCAAGGGTGAAGAATCACATTGGCACAGTATGTTTGCCACATGAGGGATGTTTCATGCAGGCCCTATTGCCTACACATTTCTAGAAATTAGACTATAAGACCCTTGGTGTTTGGTGATGTTTATTGTGATCTGTGAGTGATACGTTTCAATTACACATAGAGACCCATCCAAATGATGTGATAAATGTGTTAGGCAGTCAGCCTGACAGACAGGAAGTACTGCTTTTAGGGATATCGGTATGAGCCTGATAGCTATTACCCCAAGTGGTTCTGGGGAAGCAAGGATGCTTCTGAGGAATCCCCTTCCTTTCCTGTATCATTATGCTCTGTTCTTCCTTTATCTGTCCACCATTATCTGTCTGTGGCTCCCTCTATGCTCCATGCCTGTCTTCAGTGGCAGTGATCGACTGGGCTGATATAGTGACTAGAAGCTCTTGTCCCCTTTCATATTCCTACCACATCATGGTTGGTGTCTAGGCTAATGTGAACTTGACCTGTGTCAGAGGAGGTCTACCTCCCAGGAGGAGGCAGCCCCTCTGTCCTCTGCTGTGGTCAGACTGACTCTCAAATACTGCGTTCAATTCTAGGTGACACAGTTTAGGGCATTGATAAGCTGGAGATTTCAGAGGAGGGAAACCAGGGTGACATTTGTGAGGACCTTGATTCTATGATGCATGAGGATTCATTGAAGGTGCTCAGGATATTTATCTTGGAGGAGACAAGACTCAGGGGGAACATGTTAGCTATGTTCAAGCCTTTGAAACATTCTATATTATATATAACATATATGTGTGTGTATGTGTATATATATATATATATATATATATATGTGCATATATACGTATATGCATGTGTGTGTGTGAATTATTATGTGGAAGAGGGATTACACTTGTTCTGTTTGGCCCCAGGGGGGCAGAACCAGGAATAGTGGATGGAAGTTGCAAAGAGGCACATTTAAGCTTGCTCTAAGGAAATACTTCCTCAGGAAATAGTGGATCTTCCCCCTCATGGGTTTTTTTTTCAATAATAATAACAACAACAGCAATAATAGTAGTAAGCATTTATATAGCACCTACTATGTGCTAGACACTGTACTAAGTGCTTTACAAATGTCTCATTTGATTTTCAAGCAGAGGCTAGATAATCAGTGGTAGGGTAATGGTTCATTTATAGGGATTGTTTTGACCAGATGGCTGCTGAGATCTCTCCCAATGTTAAAATTCAGTGATTTGATTCTACAATTTGGGGCCAGGGGAGAGAGGACAAGTAACTGTGCTTCTTTATCTTGCTCCCTGCCCAATGTAGCTTTGACGAAATCCCGTTGGTCTCCACGTTGACTGGAGGAGTTGCTCTAGCCTTTTGACCCCTCCATGCTCTTTCTCTTTTCCCCTTTTTCTTTTTGGGTACCTGGGAAAGGAGATTTGGAGACCCTGGAGGTTTGGAGCCTCTAGAGGACAGGAGCAGAACTATTCTTCCTTTTCTTCCTCGATTTCTGTGCTTCTCTTGAAGATGTCCATCTCTTCTGGGATCCTTTTCACCTATCTCTCTAGGCTCTTTATGGACCAGGTGAACTCATCCTTGAAGCTTGAATGTTAGAAGAGTTGAGATTTTTCCTGGAGATGTAGGTAGGATGAATTAGACCACTGACCCTTCAGAGTCTCACAGGATTAGTCTCTTTGATCCTGTCATTGGCACACCTTTTCCTCAATGAGAAGAGATGAAGAGAAGAGATAGACATAAAAATTAAAAGGACAGTGGAATCATGATGACAAAGAGCAGGATCTAGCTTAATCTTTGGTGATTAGGCATTTTGTAAGGGTGGCAATTACTAGCGGAATCGAAGCCAAGAGGAAACTACCACAAAATTGAGGTCTTTGGTATAGAAACTTCTATGATGTTAATGACAGCATGATGTAGAGGAAAGGGAAGTAGATTTGGAGTCAGGAAACCTGAGTTTGAAACTCCCTTCCGACACTTATTAGGTATGGGAACATGGGTAAGTAACCCAACCTCTATGAACCTTAGCTTCCTCATCACTAAATGGGGGATACTTATGCTTGAATTACCTAGTTAACAGGATTGTTGTAAGTAAAGGACATGATCCCCTATTCCACATGAGAAAATAAGGAAAAGAGAGGGTAAGGGACTTAGCCATGGTCTCACAATGACTCACTATTCCAGCTAAGACTGGACCAT